AAAAGGGAAGTCCCTAGAAACGAGAAATTTGGCGCACACATAATTCGAACCATTGCAGATACAGCCCAGTTCTTGAATTGCAAAACTGCCTCTTTTGGCTTCCACGCAGCCCTACAAAATCTTGGCAAGTCCACCTGTCATGGCACACAGGTAGTCGTAATGGAATTCGCCCCACGCCTTCACAATAACTGCTTCTTTTATCTTGGCAAATGCGCAGCGTGACAAACTTTTGTCTACAACGTTCTTCCAAAAGAATTTTTTGCTTTGCTTGGGAATGAAAATATTGGATTTTCAATTAGAAGCATGTGTACGTCGCATACCGGAATTTTGGCTACAAATAAAAACTTAAAAATATCGTTCGAAAAGTATAAAAAGTGTTCCCATAAACGAACTTCAATAGATTCTAATTCAGAAGACGTACGCAAAAAATAAAGCCTTGGTTCCAGTGCCTGTTGAGCATTCTATAGCTTTTAAATTTCTTCTGAAGACGGATTTCCACTGGCACGTAGGTAACATTCGCAAACTTTTATTTTCCGTTCATGCAAGAACAGCTCGTAACAAAAGCAAAACTAGGATACAATAGCGCAAAGCCTCTTCTATGTTGTGTGCATCGAAGTTTTGTAAAATATTAACAGCATCTCTAGTTACAGCAAAAACTGTTAATACCAAAAATTCTGATTTTTTCGCTTTGCAAAAGTATTAGTCTGGTAATTCCAATTCTTACAAAAACATATGGCAGCCATTTCCAGCCAAATAAAGTGTATTCTGCAGAGGATGACCGCAGCATCATGTTGCATAAAATTGAAATCAAAGCCATCAGTATCTTTGTAATCGCAATACTGCAAAGTTAAGCTCCCAGACTTTTGCCGCACCCTGTATATCTTCCCTTTATGCTACCTTCATGATCCTTCTGGTTTCGGGAGTACTTTCCACACACAAGTGATAATGTCCAGGAGGAAACAAAACAGGTTCAAATCGAAAAGTAACATTAGTTTATCTCGTTGACTGTATCTTCATGACTGGCAAGACACGTAATTAGTCTAAATCTAGACAATATCAATAGTAAGGCTTTCTGGAAAATTTAGTCCGGTTTGAGAGCCATATTATATGCTAGCCTAATGGCTGACTTCTTAAGGTTGCCTTCATACTGATGGGCTCAGTTCCTGCACAGCGCTCGAAGTAAGCCCTGTTCTGGAGCTGTTTCCAAACTGCGGATTAGTATAAACGCAAACTAAAACAACTCGTCCATTGATTGTCCATTGATTTGTTAGTGCTTTGAAGACACTTCTCATCAGAATACAGGCGCATATCAACAACTCTTATTTTCAAAATGGGTGGTTGTATTCAATATGTACACGATGGCAAAATATTCAACTTGAGACAATTGAAAGAAGAAATACATTACCAATTTCGGACCGCGACACCGCAGCGGAAGAATTGCGTAATAAAGAAAACCATGTATAGCACAAGAGACAGCGCACCGAGTTTCGTAAATTGCATAGTTTCCAGTTGTCTTTAACACATTGAGGACGAGCCTTTTTTTTTAGGTCTGTCTTTGGGGACGAGACGTTTCCGTGCATCCCCACGCTCGGCCGCACGTACGGCTCCTAAATTGCAGAGTGGTTTGCACCAGCGGTCGCGCGACCGCGTCGCGCCCGGGCATCAATGGCACCGCCTCGATCGATGGCGGCGGCGCCAGCAAAATGCACGGGCGCGACGCGCTCGCGCGACCGCTGGTGCAAACGACTCTGCAATTTAGGAGCCATGTATGTATGCATGCGTCCATGCACGAGATATAAGAGTGCACGCCCGGCCCCTATGTGGCAAGCTCGGCCCACTCGGACAAATATATCGGATATCCAAATTTCAAAAATTTCCGCCACATATGAGAAATGGGCGGAGCTTGTTACCTGGTGGCGGAGTCTGCGTGACGGTGGGCGGGGTCTGGCCAAAATTCGCTTGAGGTCTTTGCGTTCATCTACGGCCTCATCCATGCTTTTCATAAAAAAAATGGTCCTTGTGAGGGGCATAGAAGTGGGCGGAGTTTGCCAAAAGGAGCCTGGCTAACATATGAAGCACATCTATAGGCCGTCCGCGCAGGGCGCGAAGAGTCCGCAAGGTGTGTATTGCGCGTCACTCCTCTTCCCCCTTGCACTCTCACCGCCTATTTTCTCTGCGCTTCTTCTATCTTCGATGAACGCAACAGCGTTTCTCTCCGCGCGCAGCGCGGACGGCCTATAACAAGGGAACGATACTTAGTGTCCGTGGCCTTTTGAGATGAAATGTTTACCAGTACACTCGTCTCCGAACGCTGATTCTGAATCTGGTTTCCGTTTTCTAATGTTTCTCTGAAAGAAGTTATGAAGAATTTTCGCGCCAAATTTGATCGCGCGAGGCACATACGATTGGAACACCAACATGGTAACATGTCAACATGTACATTTTTCGATCGTTTTCATTTTTATAGGCACCTCTTAGCATAAATATAGGAAATACTCGTATAAAAATGACTCCTAGTCAAATTTTCAAAGAGTAAGGACACGCATTTACCTCGAGGAAATCTAACTCTCAAAAAGAAGCTTAATTGAGGCAATGCAAAACTGAATAATACAAAAGAATCTGAACCTAGCCTGCATCAGCTTGTGAGGCTAACGCATTAGCCACTACACCACAACCGCCGGCGGTATTGGTGTTCCTATCATATCTCTGGAAGTCAAATTTGGCGCGAAAATCCTTCATAACTTCTTTCAGAGAAACGTTCAGCAGAAACGGAAGTCAGATTCGGAATCAGCGTTCGAGGACAAGTGTAGAGGTGTACATTTTATTTTAAAAGGCCACGGACACTAAGTATCGTTCCCTTGTAAGTCTATGTTGATTATATGAAAAAAAGTGAGAGGATTGGACAGATAGCATTGAAATTAAGGCCGCCCCATTGCACGAGACTTTGATATCACTTCTATTGTGCATAATTGTTGTGGAGAAATTGGGTTCTTCTGTCTCTTCAGTAAGCCTTGTCAAACTTGAACTGCCACGCGGGACTATAATGTAGCAGTGGCGTACTGAGGGGGGGGGGCGGGGGGGGGGGGGTGCGCGCCCCCCCCCCCCCCCGAGAATGGGTCACAAAATTTTTGAAAGTTACTTATATGGGTTATAAAAATGTGCAAGTGACTTGTTTATACTTGTAACTAATTAAAATAATTTTTAAAATTTTTTAAAAATTCAAATTAGCCTTGTAAAAAAATTTTTTTCGGGGGCGTGGCTGACGCCACGCCCCCTTTTTCCAGATTTCAGGGGTTGGGGACCCGGAAAAGTTCTGAGAAGTACCCCTAAAATTTTTTTGGAGTGCGTGGCTAACGCCACGCATCTTCATTTAAAAAATTTTCTGTCCCCCCCCCCCCGAGCGGAAATCCTGGGTACGCCACTGTAATGTAGTGTTTGAAGTCGAAGCAAATACGTTTATTCCAATCTCCAAATATGTACAGATATATACAGATTCACTCACACGCCGTATGGTAGGGAGTGCAAAACTTGAGAATATGCTGAACTTGATGATCGTCCAGCGGACTTGAGAATAAGCAGGACTTGATAGACGTCCAGCGAACTTGCACTCGAACTTGAAGGGATGGACAAACTTAAGTTGGAAGGAAGCAAGCAAGCATGCTCATACGGGCGATATGGGCTCTTTTCCTACATCCACAGAACTGATAAAACTAAGATCTCAAAATATCCTTCAAGGGAAAGTAAATATAAGTGAGCTGATAAGCGTTACGAAACAAAACTTGAAATGAGAAAAATGCAAAACAAAACTTGAAGTGAGAAAACTGTACAACTCGAGATGATTCATCAAACAAATATGACTTGGTCAAAAGGATATTGCATATACTATTTACAATAATTATCACTTGGTCGTCGATGTCGTCGACACTCCCCACGCCGTCACTGTAGCCTGCGCTAATTGTTCAGTGCTTGCTTGGCGTCGAGAATTCTTTGCTTTGCCATTGGTCTCAGGTCCGGAACATTGCACAGCGCTCGATGGTGTCCAACATCTCTTGGAAGGAGGTCCTCGAAAATGGTTCCTTTCAGTCTCTTGCAGTATCAACACTCCCTCGCGACGTAAGCGCACTCCTTGTCGGGAGGACAGTCTTCAAGACAGAATCGACAAAGTCCTTTCTGGCGGATTAAGTCCAGTCTCCCGTCTCCGTTGACGTAGTGTGGGCAGGAATCTGAGAAGTGTTCGCCGACTTTATCGCAGAAAGTACATTGGACTCGTTTCACCCCACAGTTTGTTTCTCTTATTTTCCGACAAGGATACTCTTGCAAAGTTCTTTCCATCTCGATTATTTCGCGTTCGAGCCTTTTCTCCCAACTTTCCGGTCGGTGAATTTTCCGGGTTTTGGCCGAGGGTCCTTGATACTAATCGGGGAGAGGCGACGTGCGTCCCTTTTCCTCGTGCGAGCGTTTTTCTTCCTCATGTGAGCGTTTTTCTCTTGGTCTGCTTGTTTGTTGCACTCGATCTCGAGCTCTAATTGATCAATTTCTTGTTGATGTTGGCGCTGCTTCAGCGTCAGCTCCTCCGTGCGCGATTTTTCGGACTTCAATTCTTGCCTCAATTCCGACAGTTTTCTTCTTTTTCTTTTCGTTCTTGTCGATGAGGTCGCTGACATTGCTTATAAGAGGCGCCGTAGCTGCTTGCTTGACTTGGAGCTGATCCTGTAGGTTGGAAATTTGCACTTTCAACTTCTCGATGTCAGAGAGTGCCAATTTCAATTCACTGCTTTCCGATTGTTCTTCACTTCTGTGGTCCACACTTTCTGCTTGGTTGCTAGCGTTCTCATCATCATTTGTTGCAGAAATTTTTAGTTCACTGCTTTCCGATTTTTCCTCACTTCTTTGGTCCACACTTTCTGCTTGGTTGCTAGCGCTCTCATCATCATTTGTTGTTTCCATTACTTGATTGGAGTTATCCTTTTGGGTCTTCTCTTTCTCTTGATTATTTTCTTTCAAAAGCCGGATCTGTTCTTGACTTGCTTCATTTTCTTGTTAGAGGCGTTGGACTTGCTCCGCCCAGTCCAAATTGAGTTCTTGGAGAAGATCCCTTCTTTTTGCTTGCGGTTGATTTGATTTTCCACTTTATTTAGATGATCCTCCATACCGTTTATAGTCGTTTTGGTGAAGCTCATGAGACTTTCTACCAATTTGAGTACTGATTCGGCTTGAACATCATGTTCTTGTTTGCGTCCTTTTTCAAGCCATTGGAATCTTCTTCCCCGCGGTATTAGCCCAGCTTGCACTTGGCGGTCATAGATTCCCGTTAGGATGTACCACGTCCCAAGGCGCAATACTTTTTCTTTAGTCATCATTGCACTTCGTAGACATCTGTTGGTTAGCATGATCTGTTCCTTGACGGTTGCTTTTGTGAAGTTTCCTTCGCCCTTTAGAGACGTCCACTGTGTTCGTTGGGTTGTTGCTACCTTGACTTGATTGTGCAGCGAATTTAGGATTGCTTCGAGAGCAGTTTCGAGGAACTCCGCTTGAGGGCTTGCTACTCTCAGGATTGCCTTCAGGAATGTTGTTTCTCCCTCTAGTTCAGCAGCGCTGAGTCTGTAACAGGATAATGAGCATATTCGAGAATAAAAGGCCAGTTGACTATAAAAACTCTTTTTTTCTTTTCTTTTTTTTCGTTTGCAGTTCTCAGAGTTTTAGTTTTGTCGCATTTTTGCTTCTGGACTTTGTCATAAGACTGCGCATGATTGCAAAGCATAACCTCCACGCCAGTTTGTAGAATGTTCGTATCGGTTTGATCATCAGCTTTGCTAGAATGACGACGCATCTGAGTCCGCAAGTCGAAATTAGCGCATAGGTTATTCCTAACATAGCGATGAGTGTGATTCCTGCTATGAGCACCGTTTTATACCATTGGCTGAATACGTCAAATGGATGATAGAAGTCGGGCCACTGGATTTCCGCTGGAGCGCTTTTGCTGTTGCTCGTAAGCCACTTGTACAGCATTGTTTCGAAAGTTGCTGTATATTTGAGGATTCCTCCGACTTCAAACGTGGTAACCACCTCTCTGCACGAGACCGAACACTTCATGCGGATCATCGCTTGAGTAGGACTAATTCTCATGACTGACTCAATTCTCGGCCGATGCACCATGTGGAGAAATTGGGTTCTTCTGTCTCTTCAGTAAGCGTTGTCAAACTTGAACTGCCACGCGGGACTATAATGTAGTGTTTGAAGTTGAAGCTCCAAATACGTTTATTCCCAATCTCCAAATATGTACAGATATATACAGATTCACTCACACGCCGTATGGTGCAAAACTTGAGAATATGCTGAACTTGATGATCGTCCAGCGAACTTGAGAATAAGCAGGACTTGATAGACGTCCAGCGAACTTGCACTCGAACTTGAAGGGATGGACAAACTTAAGTTGGAAGGAAGCAAGCAAGCATGCTCATACGGGCGATATGGGCTCTTTTCCTACATCCACAGAACTGATAAAACTAAGATCTCAAAATATCCTTCAAGGGAAAGTAAATATAAGTGAGCTGATAAGCGTTACGAAACAAAACTTGAAATGAGAAAAATGCAAAACAAAACTTGAAGTGAGAAAACTATACAACTCGAGATGATTCATCAAACAAATATGACATTGTGAAAAGGATATTGTATATACTATTTACAATAATTATCACTTAGTCGTCGATGTCGTCGACAATTGTATCAATTTGTCACATAATCAATTTAGGCTTAGATTTCATGCTGGCCTCCTTTTTGGCAAACTCCGCCCACTCCGCTGCCCTCTACATAAAACTTTTTTCGTTCTCAAATCGCATAGAAAAGCTCGCAGATGACTGGGGAATCTCAAATAACCTTAATTTTAACCCCTCTCCCGCTATTCAGGCTCCATCCCCTTGGTGATAAGCTCCGCCCACTTTTCAAAATTTCCGGAATTTGCGCTTGTGAATTTTGTGCAAATTCCAGTATTTTTTTGAAAAGTAGGCGGAATTTGCCAAAAGTGGGAGGAGCTGCCCCGCATCAGCAAGCAGCAAGCAATATCAGCATATCAGCATCAGCATACACCAAGCACATTCTTACTCTATGCAAGCCCCAATTTGAGGCTCTGACTCATCTTTTATTTTACCGGTAACAAGTAAATCAACAATCACAAAACGATTAATGCATAAACTTGTGTGCACCCGATTCCCAACGTGTCGAAACGTGATCAAGCACAAAAACGATAAAGAATTAGTTTGGCTTGGTGTATAGCTTTGTGACGAGATGAAAAAAAAAGCATGGAAAATTATGGAAAAATCATGTGAATGAAAGATTTGTAAGTGTTTTTCAAACTTTGGTTGCTTCCGCCCATTCTGAGAGCACCCTGATGTTGCGCGGGACCAAACAAAGTCATAATATATTCCTTTCCTCACATGATTTTCGAAATTTTGATATAAACCTGTTCTTTATCTCAAGCTCTACCTATGAGTACTCATCTCAAGCGAAGTTTCGCCCCTCAGCTTTGCATGGTAATTGATGGTATAAAAAATCTGCATTTGTTCTCGCCATCTGTTATCTTATCTCTAATTTTCTTGGTTTTTTCTTCGTCTTTCTCTCAAATTCCATTTCGTGCTGGACTCCAAAGGAAGTCCTATCTTTCAACGCTTGAGTCGGCTATCCGGGCCCAAAATTTTCATCAACGTTTCGCTCAAATTTCCAGGTGGTTCTCAAAACCGATGATCACGAATAACCCTCCAGAAGTAATCCCTTCTCTTTATTGAACTTTTTTGTTTTACTAATAAACTTAGGGCACTGTTGGATAATGCGAAGCAAGCTCTAAGAGGCGACCACCGCAACTACCTATGTCATAATCAGGTAAAGTTTGGAGTCAAAATCAAAATTTATTGAAAATCTCTTGCGGAAAAAAACCTTGCGAAGCTCCACGTTGGTCATCACGTAGAAAATGCTTAGTAGTATTCATAAATGCATTTGCTAAATAATCGCACTTGAAAATCGAGAAGAAAAAATAGTCCAAAAATAGCAAACTCTGGTCCCAGCTCTTCCCACATATAATCTTGGAATATCTCTGTATGCTTTGATAACCGAGAAATAAAAAGTTCAACGTTAAAAAACCGGAAAAATGACATTTTTGCAATTACTGGCTATATTTCTTACTTTTGAGCAGAGAAAAAAAATCCAACAGATTGGATTTGTAGGGCAAGTGCAAAATTTTATTTTTTGGATCCAAACTCTAGGTGAATTAGGACTCAGGTGGTTTTTTGGTGGTAATTTTGTAGAGCTTGCTTTGTGCTACTGGTACTTCATTCTGCTAAGAACACAAAAGGTTTGATCAATTTGGAAAATTTACATTTGGGACGACCTAATAAATAAGCTGATCTCACAAGGGAAGCGTCTGTAGTCGAAATGGCCTTTTCAGATGAAACCCATACTGTTGAAGATTATTGCACGGTGCCAAATCTGTCAAGCGCCTCTGAAGGCCGAGTTATGACCGTTTTTTGGAACGAAAAATGAATGTAGAGTTAAATAAAATCGATTGTTACAATCTTTCCAGTGCTCAGATAAAGCAATGTTAATTATTAGCATATTAGATAAAATGTATCCATTGCAAAAACAGCTTTGATACTTCATACTGAACCAATTGAGCAAATTTGGGCAGTCTTTCTTCAGTTTTGCGTCCAATTTTTTGACCTGAAAAACACTAACTCGGCGTGCAGAGGCGCTTGGCAGATTTGGAATCACCACTTAATGCTCTTCAAAGCAGTATGGGCCTCATCTGGAAAGGCAACTTCGACTAAACACGCTTCCCTTCAGTTTTCACAACTTCAAGGATTTGTTCTGAATTTTCCCCTCGGAGATTGTATTATTCTTTGTATGTATTTTGATTAGTCATCATGTAAATTGATTAGTCATCATGCCTTGTAAATATTGAATCAACACTTGACACCTATGAATAACATTTTCTTCATTTTTATCTTCCCTGTCTACATCTTTCCACGTCTGATCATTATAATTTATCAACATATCACATTGAAGTAAAGATAACTTTTTCTTTCTGAGCGAACGATCAACGTCGAACAATGCCTCTGACAGCAAAGACTATCGGACTGTTGTCAAGAAGCATGAGGAAACTGAAAGAGAAATCTAGAGAATCTATTTAAATTTCTCATAATTTGATTCACTGACGTCTTCGTTTCTAATTTATCCCTAAGCTTTGCATTTACACAGATTTATTTTTGTGTACGTTGACGCTCTGCTTCTGGATGTAAACTGTAAAAATTATTGGCACTTTCTTAGTCTGAAAACTTATCAGAAATGTTTGCCTGCACGTTTGATATGGAAACGATAACGCACCATTTTCCGGACAAAAACGCTTCCTATGAATCACCCCCAGAACTTTGATTGCTTTTTTAGTTCCTTCGACTATTGTGATGAAACCCTAATCTTAATCAGCTGAAGTTGACATTATGTCACACTATTATTAAGTGATTGCATTCCCCGTTGTAAAAATTACTAGCTTCCTTTTTAGTCTGAAAAACTATGAAAAAATTTGTTCGCATATTTGATGTGCAAAATGATCGGAACTCATGTTATGCAACCAAAAATGTTCCCTATGATTCACTCATATCATCGATTACTCTTTCACTCTTTTCGAATATTGCATCCATCTTCTGAATTGTTTTAATGTTGAAAAGTTTAAGTTTGAAAAGTGGACATTTTCACTGTTGTCGAGTAATCGCGCTTACCGTTTCTATTAGATAAAAGGCACGAAAACCCGTTGCGAATCCCGGGAGAGAATTGATTACCTAGACATTGAACTTATTACTGCCTAATTATGTGGCTTCTACCGGAATTTGAGAAAAATCCATTGAAGTGGGCCTTAAGGTATCAGATCGTCCCGGGGTTTCTTCCTTTTAACTTGTCATAAACACACATAGAATAAAAAATAAATGAACAATAACAAAAAATAATAATTAAAAACACGCAAACATTCTATCTGCAATCATAGTCAACATCTACTCGTTTGTGGACTATTTCGTGCTCATTAAATAATCGATTTCGAAATTCTTCCAAAAATTTAAAATCGAAATTGAAACGCGAATCCAAATTCTTTTATTTCGATCTTCTGGGAAAGTTTCATAACATAAGGATAAAGTAAGCAGCAATACAATAGAGTTTTCGTAATCCCAACTGGAATTCAAGCCTTCTCAAATTTTCTTGCAAATGTGAACAAATTCCATATTTGGTCGAGCCATACCTAGTAGAATGCCTACTGACGAGCGCATTGGGTACCACTTGATACAGCTTTTCCTTCTTTTCCTAAATGATTTTTTAGCAATTCATGGGAACTTGGTGGACGAAACTGTCAAAATTTAAATTTTTATCTAGGTAATAGCTGTAGCTGTCAATATTGCATCTCGATATTTGAAAGCAATCAAGCTTACATGGACTGGAAAATCAGAATGGAATATCAATCCTCATTTGCATTCTCAACTTCCGAAGATGTATTGCTGTTTGATGCTTTGTGTATATCACGAATTTGCCAAAAGCAAAGATTTTTGGAAACATTATCTTGAAAAATACTGGATAGCTGAAGATGCCAAAAAATGCTTTGTATTGCACTTTGCTCACTTTCTCCAGCTGCACCAAAACTTCTGCAAACTGAGTTGCTGAAAATTTGCCGTTGTATGTGGTGAAAACCATGGGTACAAAATCGTGGCGTTATTTTGACTAGCACAAGAGAAAGAACGGATTACGACTTCTGAAAAAAAGGAGAAAAATCTGCGTCGAATGGCAGGCGCATTCTCAATTCCAGGTGTTCATTATAGGTCCAAAAATCGAAAAGAACTTTGAGAACAACTCAGCTTTGAGATTTCTTGACATAGTGCCCTTACAATTACGCTTCGTGAAACTGTTAGAAAACACAAATCTCCAGATCTCAGCATAACTACCTCCTGCTGCACTTGCTTTCAAGCCAATAAAAACCTAGAAGCTCTGAATTTTTTGGTTTTGATTTGTAGGAAGACTGGCAGTAGTTGCCGAATCTGCTCAATGGCATCGCCCGGTGTTTACAGCAGCATCTAGAATAGAAGACGTTGTATAACTTG